GGATCAGCGGAGCCTGATGGAAGCCCTGTGTGTTTATGCACCCTGGGGGTGCAGAGGTCCTGTCCTAGGCAGAGGCCTATGGCGAAATTTTTGACTCTGAGAAGCAGCCTACGGGCTGGAAGGCGGCTCCTCTGACCTCAGTGCTGGAGAAGACCATTAAGCAGAAAACTAAAGAAACCGATTTTACATCATTTCCCAGGTGTAGAACAGTTGGCATGTAAGCCCCTGACCAGTGCCCAGCCTCTCCTCTGTCAGTCTATCTCACTCTTAGGTACCATGTTCTTTGTTCTGTCTTAACTGCAACTCATTTTTAAACTAGATTGCTTTTAAAAGAAGACTAAATAAAGTTTCCCTTAAGTTATTTAGGTGGTGCTGGGGCTGCTGGGGCTGCTGGGGGCCTGATAGAAGACACAAACACGCAACGGGGGGCCTGTACCCAGCAGCCCCAAGGGCCGCCACCTTGGTGCTGGGGCTGCTGGGGGTATCAGAGACACAAACCCGCAGGCCCGGCACCCAGCAGACCCAAGGCCTTCGTGGCAGCACTAAGGAGCAGCAAGCCAAGCGGTAGGAAGCAGCAAGCAGGTGGGCAGTAACAAGGGAGGGGTCCTGGACTGCAAGAGGGCACATGCTGGGCTAAGGGACCCCCCACCCATCCCCAGTGCATGAATTTCGTGCACCGGGCCTCTAGTATTAAGATAAGCAGTAGAGGGGTAGAAAGTGGTGCATTTTGATCAGTGGAACTGAAGGAGATGAGTTGGAGGAGGTCCCCTGAAATGTGGCCACGCAGGGCAGGGAGAACACAGGTGAGAACTGTGATGCAACAGCCTGACAAAGGCCCACAGTGAGGAGCACCCTCATCCCCAGAGACTATTAAAAGTTGATCTGCACCCGACCCTGCCTTGGGTGTACCAGTGGATTTACAAATGAATGGCAGGGTGTCTGAGAGAGAGTCCGGCAGGAACTGGGGCAGATGGGCAGGAAAGCACGCAGTGGCCAATGAAGAACAGTGACAGGGCCCACTAGGAAGCTCCAGAACTAGGAAAACACAATGCACAAAATGGACTAGAGTGGGGTAGCCAGGCGAAGAATTCGGAAGCTCCTCTAATGCTGTAGGCGAGAGAGAACACAATGCTGGCCTGGGTGGGCTACAGGAGAAGAAAACAGGAGGACGGAAAATCAAAACTGGGAGGGGGCAGTGAAGGGACCTTCCCCATCTTCCTAGCTCCTTCCCTTTCCTCCACCCTCTCCAAGTTCCTCATGAATGTCTACTACTCGTTTATAAAGCCACTGGGAAAATTCCACCTTGGCATTTAAATTCTTTACCACCCCAAAGCGGATGAGAGGAGAACCTTTCAGGCACTTGCAAAAGGGCCTAACCAGAGCCTACCGTACTGAACAAAGACGGCTGTCCGGGGATTCCACACCAGAGGAGAGAGGCCTCCTAAGCCAGGCCAGCTGGAACCTGTACTTCATAATCCTTCTTACCACAGACAAGCCCCATCACCTCAAACCTTCCAAAATGGCTACCATCAATAAATCAACAAACAACAAGTGCTGGTGAGGATGTGGATAAAAGGGAAAACTAGTGCACTGTTGGTGGGAATGCAAATGGGTGCAGCCACTTTAGAAAACAGTATGGAGTTTCCTCGAAAAATTAAAAAGGGAACTGCCATTTGACCCAGCCATCCCACTTCTGGAAATATATCCTAAGAATCCCAACACATCAATCAGAATATCTGCATCCCTATGTTCACTGCAGCATTATTTACAGTAGCCAAGCTCTGGAAACAGCCCAAGGGCCCATCAGTAGATGAGTGGATAAAAAACTGTGGTGCATTTACACAGTGGAATACTACTCGGCTGTGAAAAAGAAGGAACTCCTACCCTTTGCAACAGCATGGATGGATCTGGAGATTATTATGCTAAGCGAAATAAGCCAGTCAGAGAAAGATAAATACCATATGATCTCACTTACTTATGGAATCTAATGAACAAAACAAACTGATGAACAAAACAGAACCAGAGGCATGGATACATGGAACAGACTGACAGAAGTCAGAAGGAAGGGGGTGGTGAGGACTGGATAAAAGAAGGGGAAGGAATTAGCTAAAGAACATATATGTATAGCCCATGGACACAGGCAACCGTGTAGTGAAGGTAGGGGCAGGGGAGCTGGGCAAGGGGAGAAATATGGGGGACATCTGTGATAGTGTGAACAATTAAAAAAAACAATGAGCTGAGTGATGGGGATCATTCCTGTCAGGATTGGGGAGGGGTGACTGTCTCCAACAGTGGACACTGCAGTAGAGCATTTTAGGGACTCCTAACCATGCATGGCCTGTGGTAACAGGCTCAGAGGACTGAAGACATTACCCTTTCTCCTCTGTATCTAGACATTATCTCCTTGTTGAGCTAGCTTGTCATTGCTTCTTGAGCAGCAGATGCGCTTCACAATAGTAATTTGTTACAGCCTGATAACTGCCTTTCACCCGCAGATCGGCCACTCCTTCCATAAACCTTCCACTTACCAAGTAAGAAATCATGGAGGCACCCAAGTGCTTCCCCTCTCTCATCCCCCAATGCTAAGTAATGAAGCTTAACCTCCTTGGCAGCCTCCCTTCTACCGTCCCTGCCTCTGCCCGAGTTCGGGCCTTCTTCATTCAGGACACGGACTTCTGCAGTGGCCTTGTTGTGTCCTGGGTTAAGATGATTTCACATCCACTTGCTTATGACATAAATGAAGTTCTTTTAATCCACTTGTTTATGACCCCCAAAAAGTTATCTGATATAAGAATAAAGTAAGTCCTGCCAGGATGTCATCATTCTACATCTGTTGTCACTGATAAGCAACCAGCTACCGAGGGGCCCCTTCTTATCAATGAGAACACGTGGAGAAGCCACTACGGGCCAAGGGGACATTTAGACTACAAATACGGAGAGTTTGCAAGGACTCTCTGAGGGGGGCATTCCCTCCTGTCTTGGTGAGGCACTCCTCCTAGCCAGTGGTGACAGGCTGCAACCCTGGGAAAGAGATCAGCTCGCCCATCAACACTGGTATCTTCATTCCCTAGCAAAACGCTCCAGCGACTGGAGACTTTTACTCTGCGCTGGCAGCTGGAAATCTGGAAATTAGTCAGTTGGTCACTGACTCTCCCAAGTGCCTCCCTGGACTTCATTCCTT